GTCGGGACGGATGAGCGTACGCAACATCATCTGAGCGGTCTGGTGCGCTCGCTCCGTCTGGCCATCCGTCTGCGGGTGCCGAGCCGAGCTCGGCTTCATAGTCGTACCGGACTCAGCCATGAGGGAAGTCCAAAAGGTTGACATGAAGCGAGTATCTCGGTCGCTCACTATGTCTTCCGGAACACCCTGGTTGTTAATCCAACCGATGTGCAAGAGTCGTGCGAGCTCGGGTGCTGCAACATGATACTTGCAAGGAAGGAAGCGAGCATACTTGCTCAAACGGTCAACGACCGTGAGAATACCGTCATGGCCGTGGCGATCGCGGGGGAACGGGCCTGTCACGTCCATAGCAATGGAGAGGTGAGGTGCCCGAGGAATCGGCAACGGTTTCAGTTCGCCGAAGGGGACTCGAGATCGACCCTTGTTRCGGTGGCAAACTGCACATGATTCAACGTACCTCGTGACGTCATGAAGGACGTCTGGCCAGTGAAAACGTTGGCGGAGGCATGCTAACGTGCGGTTCACGCCAAGGTGTGCCAAAAGTCGTGCGTCGTGGAATTCGCCGAGAAGACGAGTCCGTAGGATGCGATCTTGGGGCACAACTAACAAGTCCTTTCCTCTCGTGTGAAGGAGAAGGAACCCGTCGGAAATCCGATAATGGCTAGTCGGCGGGTGATCCGATGACAACTCTGCGTAAAGCGTAGAGTAAGTCGGATCGGACTTGTAGCCTTTGACGAAATGCGGCTGCAAATCGTCATCGAGGTCGAATGCCGTGGTCACAATGGCACAAAAGTCGGGCCGTCGCGATAGGGCGTCCGCAGCTCGATTGGCGGGACCGGGAATGTGGCACGGGTCAAAGTCGAATTGGTCGATGTAATACATCCATCGACCAATCGTGCTCGTGACCATGTCCTGCGTTTTGTAAAAGGTCAACGGATTGTCGTCCATATTCCATTTAAAACGCCGACGGCCGAGAAGAAAGTGGCGCCACCGTTTGAGAACGGTGACGAACGCGAGTAGCTCTTTCTTCCTAGCATCGTCGAGAGTGTTGACGAGAGGCACCTTTTGGGAGAAATACTCGACCGGATGCCAACCGTCCTCGCGGCACTGTTCCAACACCGCACCAATGCCGTATCCCGAAGCGTCCGTAGTCACTTGGGTGGGTAGGGTGGGGTCATATATACGGAGGGCAGGTGCTGCTTGCATCGCTGCCTTCAACGTAGTGAACGCGCCACGGGCTGCGTCGTCGAACTGAAAGGGCACCTTCGGGGACTGAAGTCTCGACAAAGGAGTGGCCACTTTCAAGTATGACTCGACGAATCGCTGATAATATCCAGCCAATCCCATGAAAGAGCGTACGTCCGTCATACAACGGGGTTCCGACCAATCCACGATGGCTTGGATCTTGTCCGCTAAGGGACGAATGTCTTTCGGCGTAACATAGTGGCCCAAATACTCAAGCTCTTGATTGGCGAACTCGCACTTGTCGTGGTTCGCTTTGTACTTGGCCAGTCGCAAACGATTCAAAACAGCGCTAAGGTGTGTGATGTGCTCGTCCAATGTCCTGCTATCGACCAAGATGTCATTGAGGTAGATGAGGACGCTGCGATCGAGCAAGTCACGAAACTCAGTTGTCATAGCTGCTTGAAAAGTTGCGGGGGCATTGGTGAGGCCAAAAGGCATGACAACCCACTCAAAATGCCCGTACCGCGTCTTGAACGAGGTCTTGTACCGATCTTGAGGCTGGATTTTAATCTGGTGGTAACCTGACTTCAAGTCCAACTTCGAGAAGTACGTCGCGCCGCCTAACCGCTCAAGGAGATCATCAATCCGAGGGAGAGGGCCGGCGTTCTTTACGGTTTGTGCGTTAAGTTTGCGATAGTCGATGCATAACCGTAGATCTTTGTTCTTCTTCCGGACGAAGAGAACAGGTGCACCGTATGGCGAGCAACTAGGGCGAATCCAGCCCTTGTCGAGAAGGTCATCGAGTTGTGTGCGAAGCACCTCGAGTTCCTCTTCGCTTATGCAGTAGATACATCCACGCGGAGGGACGGCGCCCGCCTCGAGAGTGATCCCGCGACGTATGGGCCGATCCGGAACCGTTCCGGTGGGCGCCTCGAAGACGTCTCCATACTCGTCCAAGAGGCGAGTGATGCGTGGGTCCGGCGGTGACGCGGCTGGTCCGTCCGGCGAGGGGAGAGCATGCAAGAATACAAGGCCCATCTCCTCGACGTCATTCCGAGCAATGGCGTCGCGAATTCTTGCAACGGAAACCACGTGACAAGCAATCGAAGTGTGAGGGGTCGCAACCGTACATGGGCTTAACACTCCGTTCCGATCACGGATGTGAACGGTCCGGTCGTGGAGGTTCACCGGATGATCGGCGCTACGCAACCAAGACATGCCTAGAATCATGTCGAACTTGGTGTCGAGGATGTCAAAAGACACCGGCTCGCACGCAAGTGGCGCAAAGTAGACCGGAACGCCGTCAACGCATCGGTCAATTGACTTTTGCGTGCGGCCGTCCGCGCGTGTAACTTGCGTAGGTTGCGTCTTCCTTCGAATGCGCGGGCCAAGACCTGCGCGGGCCATAAAGGCTTGGCTCATAAAGTTGCGAGACGCTCCGCAATCAATCGAGGCACTACAGGTTGCCTTTCCGATTTGAATGCGGATATAGAGAAAAGGTGCGTCGGTTTCGGCGTACCTTTGGGTGGCGTACTCGCGGTCGATCTTCGCAAGATAGGAGTGGAGATCGACAACCGCTACCCCGTCGTCCGTCAACGGAGCTGGTACTGTAGTGTGCAAATAGGAGCGTAGATTTGCCATCAAGGCGTTGCAATGCGGCCTTGGCAAGGTTCCGGTCGAGGGTAGAGGCATCCAAGCGAAGTCCTCTCTCGTGAGCGGGTCAAGCTCCTCAAGGGTTGACCACGCCGTCGAGTCCTCGGAAATAAGTGGCGAACTGACCGGATCACTTGCCGACAGTGTACAGGCTGCGCATACGCCATCTAAGTGCACGTGGCTTGGCTGGTCTAGTGGTGGTACCAGCTGGGCGGCATAATCCTCGTACGTAGTACGAGAATCAGCGACTAACGCATGCTCCCCGGTAGTGACATCGATTGCTAGCAAGGCAACCGGTTCCGGCGGAGTGAGGAGAGACGTCGCCCCTCTCCTTGCGTAACTCAGTTTCCCGAGTTTGCTGGACGAGGTACGCGTGCCTTGCCCTTTTCGGGGCATTGTGCGGTCAAATGAGTGACGTCGTTGCACCAAAGGCAGTATCCGTACTTTTGACGAAGGTCATAGACATCCTTGGTTATCTTGTAAGCCGTCCATGGCTGCTGCCCAGTTCCCGTCGATGCCGTCTCTTGTGTCGCCTTGTTCTTCCGAACTCTCTTGGGACGCTTCGGCGGAAGCGCTGCTACAATTTCTCCATCACTCGAGGATGCTACTGCAGCGTGGAGATCGTCTGTTTCTTCAAAAATCACGGCATTGTTATGTGTCGGACGTTGATAGGCCGGTTTAGCCACATAATGCGGCTGGGACTGCCGTTCGTTTGCGGCCTTGTCGTCCGTTTGGATGACCAAGTTCGCACGATCCAGGATGGCCTGGAATGAGGCGTAATCGTACTCATTGCCGAGTGCGGTTCGCAGTCCTGCGCATGATCGCGAGAAGAACTCGGATCGTTGATTGCTAAAGCTCAAATCGAAGCCTGGCGCGGTCACTATCTTCTGCCACTTGGTTGTCCGGTCTCGAGTTGGCATATTCCCTTGAGAGCAGGTATACACTTCGTTCATGGCCGCCTTCACGACGTTGCGGACCATGAAACGGGTGAACCATAGCTTCTCGAAATCCTTCCACGTAATGTGCGTGTGAAGTTCGGCGATGGTGCATGTGTGGGTAGCCGCCAGATGGTTCATCCATGCCTGCGCTCCTCCAATCAGCTGTAAATATAACGCCTTCATCAGATAGTCGTCCGGGACAGTGCGGCATGATGCTTCCGTGAGGAAACGTTGCCACCATGCCAAAGCGTCCGTCTTGTTGTGGTCGTCGAACTTGCTGATGTCGAAGTGCGGCATCTTGTAGTTCTTCGTAGTGGCGTCCGGTCTCGTCTGCAGCTTGGTGATGTCCGTCTTGATGGCGACCACCGTGCTACTGATCGTGTCCGGCCCATTGAAAGCACCTATGTCGCCGATGAGCTTGACGACGTGATCGATGCGCTCATTGAGTTGCTTCGTCGCGTCCGCCGTGCAGCCTGGCGCCGCTGAGGCGTTAGCCTCAATGCTGTTGATGCGAGTGAGAGCGGAGTTCAACAGCTATTGCTGTTGCTGCTGCTGTGTTGCTTCGGCGCGGATGGCAGTTGTTAAAACAGCAATGTCTTGTTGGTACTTTTGTCTTTGTTGTCGTTCCGTGCGCAGATATGCCTGCAGCAGTGTGTTATTCTACATGATTCCTCTCATCATGCCCATCATCAAGTTAGCCAGGTGAGTCCTCTCTGCCTCCGCCGGTGTCGGATCTGCCTGCGCGTCCGAAGGCACAAAGATCATGCCTTGGAGGAACTTTGTCCACTGACTCTCACAATGAATTAGGGACTCCGTGCTGGCGGCATTCCGTTGGTCTTGTGCCGCTGCGTCAACCTCAGCAGTCTGCTGAGCTCGGGCTGCTGCCTCATTGGCCAGCCGCTGACGTTCTGCCTCTGCTGCCTCCTGCTGAGCCTTGACGGCAGCTACGGTATCAGTGAATACCTGTACCCGCTAAAAATAAGCTGCCGCCGGCTCATTGGCCCCTTGGACCGGGCATGCGGGAAGAACCCCGGTGGCAACCGGTACTGTCAATGCTGTACTCGATGCCGCTGGAGTCTTCCGTTTGCTGAGTCGCTGTTGCTGAACCTTGGTTCTTGGAGGTACCACAGGGCGGGTACGAACTGCAAGCCTGGCACTGTGTCGTGGCAGTGCCCCGGTGTCCTGTTCCATCAACATCAGTGTGAACTGATGCGGTACTTGAGAGGTTCCGGTGGTCGCAGAGTACGGGGAGGTAGGGAGAGTGGGAACAGGGGTAGAACAATCAAACAATACGCATACAGTCCCCTATCCCACTGATGGACTGTAGACACCTAATCAAAACAGAAAAAATAAATTTCCCGTAAACAATTCAAAATTCGTAATAAGAAATAAAATTAACGAATGATTTAATCAATATAGTTAATTAATGATAAATAATGAAATAATAGTTCTTAATGATAATCAATAAAACAATGTTTGCTATAATTTTTTGTAATGGTAATCCATAAACAATATTTGTAATAATGATAACGAACGAATTTGAATTGTATCAAGATTAGGTATCCATTGAGATCATCTTTTAGTCCGGGAGTTCACCATTAATGAGTGAACTACCTGGAAGTTGCAACTTGAGGGTCAGTTTCGGATTAGTTTGCCGAAAAAAAATTCGGAGAAGGTCAGGGAAAAACACTCGAATTTTCAAAACGTAAATTTTCGGGAATTTCCACCGTCAAAATCCGATTTTTAACGGCCTAAACCCGTTTTTGGAATTTCTCAAAACAAAGGGAAGAAAAAAAAAAATTCGGGCCCAACCCTAATTTTCCGCGTTTCAACGGAATTTCCAGATTTACGGTTCCCAAAACGTTCAAATTTCCCAAGTTAAGTGAAAAACCAAAATTTTCGTAACCCTAGTTTCCACTACTGCAATAAAACGGAAATGCCGATTTGGAAAACGAACTACCGGATTAAAATCAGAATGCCAAAATAAAAAACGGAATACCGAAAGAAATCAGAATGCCGAATTAAACAGCATACTGATTTAACCCTAATCACGAATTCCTAATCAGAAAAATCCAATTAAACAGCATGTCCGATTAGTATCAATTTCTCGGAACCTAATTAAACAGCATACCGACGTAAAACATAAATCCGAATGATAAGTCCGAATACTGAATTGAAAAGGAAATGCCGAACTAAACAGAATACCGAAAAAAAGAAAAAAAAATTGCAACTTCGAACTTGATAGTAATACAGCGCTGATTTGGAAGATTGAAGAAACAATCTAATTCCTAAATCAGTCTTACCTGGTGAGCAGATTCGTAACTAGTCTGCTTTGATACCAAAATTGTTACATACTTCAATGAGTATGGGCAGAACCAAACATCAACCAATGTAGGATGAGCATATATGCAGCGGAAGTCTGATAAACGGACTGACTCACATAGACTGACTCATAGAATCACTCCACACACATACAATCGTGAGATGGTGGGGTCTGGGCCAAGCATGGACGATGCCCAGATCCCGTACACACATACACAGATGAAAGGTGGGAGGAGAGACGAAGGAGGTGGGGGAGGTAGACAGCACCCGTAGGTGACCGAGATAGAATCCGATAGGTCGCCGATATGGTAGTCCAAAATGTCATCCAACAAGATAAAAATGTCGAGGACAATCAGTCACCAATGTCGGAGATACAGAGTCCAAATGTAACCGTTGTCCGAACTGTGATGCCGCCAAGTATCAACCCCAACAATCTCCAAGTCTCCAATCCGGTAAGTACCACAGCCTCTTACCACCGAAGTCCAACTCTGATCTCTATCCAACTAGTATAAGTCTCCAATCCGAAGAAGAAGAAGAAGAAGAAAAAAAAGAAGGAGACGAAGAAGAAGAGGAAGGAGTCTGAAGAGAAGAAGAAGAAGAAGAAGAAGAAGAAGAAGAAGAAGAAGAAGAAGAAGAGAGAGTCGAGGAGGAAAGAGAGAGAGAGGGGACTGACGATGGGAGGGAGGAGAGAACCTCCGGCTCCCTGATACCTCAGGCGGCGATGGCCGCCGATCTGGCTCAGTCGCCCTGTTGCTGCTCCGCTCGCCGCTGCTGCGCTAATGCTGCGCTACTGCTGCCTGCTCCTCGCTCCTGCGCTAAGAATAGCGCCAGCGCTAATGTGCGCTGTACCATACCGTACCGGTAGAATGCCGGTAGGTCGATACCTCGAAGTGAGGCCGGACCAGTACTAAGTACTGGTTCGAAGAGGACCGGCCTCAATGCTGCGAGGCCTTGGTTGGGGCTGAACCGTCCAGATCGACGATTCAGGTCCAACCAGGTCCAACCGGAGAGCGGCAGCCTCAAACGGCGCCGCCAGGCCCAAAGACGAAATGTCGTTTGGGCCTGGTCCGTAATCGGGTCCAAGTCGTGGCCTTTCGGCCTGTTATCCCCCAAGGTCGGGCCTTTAGGCCCTGATGTGTCCCTCTAGCCCTAAGTCAGGTCCGGTAGGACCTGTGTGGCGTCGAAGATGTAACACACTCCCCCTCTTAAAAGTCCGAGCTACCTGCTCTCTCTCCTCCTCTCTGTACTACGGACGTCAGTCCCCGGCCACGTCAGCATTGTGCCACATCAGCAGCGGCCCACGAACGCAGATTGCCACATCAGCCGAGTGCCACCTCAGCGTGCCACGACATCCGAGTGCCCAGTCAGCAGCAACCACCTCAGCAGTGCCACATCAGCAGGTGCCACCTCAGCGGTGACACGTCAGCAGCAGACGAAGACCAGAGTACTTAACGCGCCACAGTCAACGACTTGCGGAGCGCGGATCTGCAGGAACCAAGCCCCAACAGGTACTTAAGCCACSTCGGATCCCGTGCAGGCGACGCACGACCATGGCTGCTACCGCCGTTGTCAATGCACAAGCCAGCCCCAAGAGGCCGGTTACCCCTCCTATCCCAGTTCAGCAGGCCGATGAACCGCTTCTAGCGTTCCGCAAACGTCTCCAATTCTACTCGGAGACAACAGCAGCTGAAGTGAGCAAGTGGGAAGAGGAGGAAGCCGCCTGCCAGCAGGAAATTCAACGCCAGCTGGCAGAGTGTTACATACTTCAATGAGTATGGGCAGAACCAAAGATCAACCAATATAGGATGAGCATTTATGCAGCGGAAGTCTGATAACGAACTGACTCA